ATTACTTTAACGGAAGGTTTCCAGATGGATATGCGGAGCTAATCCATCTGGCGGAGTCAGGTTAGCCTTTTACAGCTGCTTTCTGTATCTCAGCTTCTGTCTCCTTGAACCCCAGTCGGCCTCAGCAGATGGCCGCTCACACTGAGCCTGGTTCTGCTGGAGGCTTCTTCCTGTTAAAAGGGAGTTTTCCTCTCCACTGTCGCTACAAGCATGCTTAGCGTGAGGGATTGCCTTTGAGTCAATGAGTCGATGCAATCAACTGTTTTTCGTTTGATAGAAAACTTTGAATCAATTTGACTGTATGATCTGGTGAACTGTAAAGTGCCTTGAGATGACATGTGTTCTGAATTGGCGCTATAGAAATAAACTGAATTGAATTAAAGCAGTCAGGGTTGTTAACAGAAGCAGTGAGAGGCTCACCTGTCAATGACAACCTCATCGGTGTTGACAGCAAACACCTAAACAAAAAGTCAGCAGTAAGTAATGAATATCCAGATGAAGGCAGTGACTATTGGAGTGGAGATGCTGGAAACTGAAGTCCCCTCACCTGTCCTGCTCTCTGCAGGTTTCCAAAGTGGACGTCAGGAATGAAAAGCACCGGCTGGGAGTCCAGGTCCAGCATGCCTTTGAACAGGGTGCTTTCTGCCCTCCTGATGGGGGAGCTCGGCCCCGAGCTGCTGTTTTTCCCTAATTAAGGGAGAGAGTGACCTGAGCAAATTCTTTTTGCATTTTTTTCTGTTTTAATCATTTGCTTTTTAAAAACACTTTTATTTAATTTGGAATCGATCTTTTAATCATGTAACCACATTTTAATGATAAAAAGACCAAAACCACACGTACTACCTTTCATCTTCCTCCTTTGCTGCTTCTTTTCCTCATCACGGAGTTTCCTCTCAGCACCCTGTAGTATGCAAACAGAAGAGAGGGTAGAAAAAAGGCAATTAAAAATGGATCCAACCAGGGCCAGTTAATCACGCTGAGCAGAAAGCTCATGTTGTCTTTGACCCTCCTCACCTTGTCACAGAAGACCTTGATTTGAGTGAAGGCCCTGTGGATAGGCCTGCTACTGCAGCTGTTGTAGCTGTAGGTGTCGATCTGGATGATCAGAGGCATGCCCTTCACTCCCTTCTGGGAGGAGAAGTCTGTGCTCAAACAGTTCACAGAGATAAAAACCTAGAAAAAAAAAAAACATTTAAAAAAATTAATTGAACTTAGGTAACACTCAGTATGCTATTGTTGACAGAGAACAAATAAAAATGTGTTTTCCTGCTTCAGATTAGCATTATAAACTATAATACTAATCTGGGGTCTGCATAAACACAAAATAGGTCTAAAACTTTTGTACGCCACCTCCCACAGAAGGTTCTACAGTACAAAAAAAAATAAAAAATACTACAAATTGGCGTGATAATATCTGGTCCCTCAGAACAACACTGACAGGTGCATCCAGGGTAAGTAGATTTTTGAGACAGGAGAAATCTGGAACACAGCTGTGAGATAAGGAACTGAAGCTATTTGCATCCTAATTCCTCTCAGAAATTTAATCCAAAACGACAGCATGATACATACTTTCAGTGGTAAGCCAACCCCTTGCAACAATAAAAAAGGACCAGCTAAAATTAAAATCAATGTCCTTATAATATCTGCAATGAGGAAAATAAGTATTTGAACACCCTGCTATTTTATAAGTTCTCCACTTAGAAATCATGGATGGGTTTGAAATTGTCATCGTAGGTGAATTTAACACTGTGAGAGACATCATTTAAAATAAAAAAAAATCCATAAATCACAGTGTTCATGCTATCTTTATTCTCACATTCAGCAGTATTTGTTAGTTAGCTCCATAGCTTCCATAACTCAGGGTGACATCAGTTCATCACTTGTTGTTCCTATAAGTGTACATATAGCTGCTAAACTAGCTGACTGTGTAATAGCACATGTTGCAAACATTTAGTCCATCCATCCATCTTCTTCCGCTTATCCGGGGTCGGGTCGCGGGTATAGCAGCTTCAGTAGGGAGGCCCAGACGTCCCTCTACCCAGCCACTTGGGCGAGCTACTCCGGGTGAATCCCAAGGCGCTCCCAGGCCAGCCGAGAAACATAGTCCCTCCAGCGTGTCCTGGGTCTCCCCCTGGGCCTCCTCCAGGTGGGACGTGCCTGGAACGCCTCACCAGGGAGGCGCCCAGGAGGCATCCTGACCAGATGCCTGAGCCAACCCAACTGCCTCCTCTCAATGTGGAGGAGAGACGGCTCTACTCTGAGTCCTCCCCGGCTGGTTGAGCTCCTCACCCTATCTCTAAGGGAGAGCCCAGACACACTATGGAGAAAACTCATTTCAGCGCCTTGTATCCGGGATCTCGTTCTTTCGGTCATGATCCAGATTTCATGACCATAGATGAGGGTAGGAACGTAGATCGACCGGTAAATCGAGAACTTTGCTTTTTGGCTCAGCTCTCTCTTCACCACAACAGAGCGGTACAGGGCCCGCTTCACAGCAGACGCTGCACCAACCCGCCTATCGATCTCCCACTCCATCTTCCCCTCATTTGTGAACAAGATACTTAAACTCCTCAACTAGGAGCAGTACATCCTCCCCAACCTGGAGAAGGCACTCTACCCTTTTCCGGCTCAAGACTATGGTCTCGGATTTGGAGGCACTGATCCTCATCCCGACTGCTTCACACTCTGCTGCGAATCGATCCTGGCTTCATCAGGATGTGATCCAGTAGATCACATCCTGATGAAGCCAACAGGACCACATCATCTGCGAATAACAGAGCTGCAATCCTAAGGCCACTAAGACAGATCCCCTCAACACCTTGGCTGCGCCAAGAAATTCTGTCCATAAAGTTATTAACAGAATCAGTGACAAAGGGCAACCTTGGCGGAGTCCAACCCTCACCGGAAACGAGTCCAACTTATTGCCCACAATGCGGACCAGGCTCTGACACCGGCCATACAGAGACCTAACAGTACCTCCCACAGGACCACCATGTCAATTGTGATTTTTATAATGAAACTTCGAGACTTCTTGTCAGCAGTTTGCCTAAGCCAAGTAATGGACACAGCAAACATAAAGTGTTTAGTCTATATCATTCTAAAAACCACACTTTCACTATGCTGAGAGAATGCTTTTCCTGAGAGTGAGCAGGAAAGCGGGTATGGATAGATATCGATATCAGTAGATAGATGGAGCTGAATACAGGGCAATACTAAAATGAGAAAAGAAAATATGTTAGAGAATGCAAAAGATCTACTGCTTCCTCCAAATTTCCCATTTTTGTCTGTAAGGGAGACACCCTTTAAACTTTTATGGTTTGGCTCAAAACTGAGCTACCTCTGCAGTTATGCTGCAATAGGCTTAGGCTGCTGGAGGACATGAAGACCACTTTTCATTACTCTGCTACTTTCAGAATGTGTTTTCCTGTAAACTAAGTCAAACGTTCATAATCTGCTGGTCTTCTCTCATCTTATTGAACTGTTGGAGAACTCGCTTTGTCTTTGGTACTCTTATTGTTCAACTCCCAGGTCATACATTTTAACTAGAATGCCAAAAGAATTTGGATTAGTTACACTTTGCTACTTTCCCATTTTTTATTTTGTTTAATAATTGAGTATAGCACAGAATATACGTTTGAAAACACCTTGGAACTAGCTCTTCAAACGTGAATTGACCCATAATGCCCTCTGGTGTTTATTCTAGGTATAGCACCTCATGAAAATCAATATCATTTACTTACACTTTTCTGGTCTGCTTGCATGCAGAATGCATTCAGATCATACAATTTCTATAGGGCTCTTAGCTTAGTAAGCTTCCTCCGCAAGCTACACTCAGAAGTGAAAAACAATTTTTAGACCGTTTTCCTTCTTTGTTGCAAGGTTGAAGTTCTAAGGAGGGAAATGAATTGTTCTTTACTTACATTTAACATTATATGAATAACTAGTCCTCAAACAGAAAGTCAAACATCTATGATGGTCTGATATACAAACCTGATATAAAGTGAAAGCCCTTTGGGAAACTCCTCCAACTCCCATTGTCATTGTGACACAGCACACACAAGTGAACACTGCACACCATGAAATTACATTTATGCCTCACCCGTCAATGGCGCCCCAAGGGAGCAGTGTGGCGGGACGGTACCATGCTCAGGGTACCTCAGTCATGGAGGAGGAGGAGCGCTGGTTAATTACTCCCCCCACCAACCTGGCGGGTCGGGAGTCGAACCGGTAACCTTTGGGATCCAAGTCTGACACCCTAACCGCTCACCCACGACTGCCCCCTGGTCTCCTCTGGAACATTCTCCATAAGGATTCCAATGAAGCAAAATGAACTACACTTCATCACTTAAAGCAGGGACCCTCCCTACCTCTAAGAACGTGCTAGAGACTCATCTCTTCCAGAAATACCTCACCCAAGAACCACTAACACATCTGACTCACACAAGCAATTTCTCACACGTTGGTCTTAAACCCTGCCTAAGTCTGCCATTAAAGGTTTCTCTACATTTAAGAGAGATTAAGCACTTTCCCCACTTCTGATCAGATTAAACCATCTGTTTATTACAGATACATATGATCAGACCTTTTGCCATGATGTTTTTACAATTTTCTCAGTAAACAACTCTGTTTATTTTTGGTATGCAGCTAAACAGAAAAGGAAAGTGAGAAATCTACAGTCCTGCTTCTTGTCTGGACATGTTGTAAAGCCAATAGGATGAGTGGGATGTGAGAGGAGTTCCTTTCATCCTCCAAAGGAAAGCAGCGTTCATCTGTTCTACCTCTGTATGCACTGTTCAGGCTCCTTCGTAATGTAGTCTATCAAGTACAGACAAGAGAAAAATCAAGGTTCCATGACTGTTGGTGTCGTCATGGGGAAATACAATGAGAAACTATCACCTGTTCTGCTTAAAGCAAGAGATAGCCAGGCACTGGTTATCAAACAAATTGACCAGCTCCACAAAAGACACCTGGTGGTTTACTAGTCTGGGGGAATCGCACAGTGTGCGTTTACCCTGACCAACCTGTAAAGACTTCAGCAAACACCTCAAAGAGAAGCAGCTGTTGCTAGCAATCAAGCCAAGAAAAGGTAGAAAGATATTTCACAACTGACACAAAACATTGGAGAAAAAAAAACTTTCATGACAGCTGTAAACATCCTACAACATTCGTTTGTAAGGCTTGGAGAAACTGCAAGAGCCAAAAGCTCCATATTTTGATGAAGCAATACCAGTACAGGCAATGCCAAGGTCGCCTGAACCAGTATAGCTGATGTGATTTGATTTGTTCAGTCTGCTTTCCTAATCTGGGTCATGACAGAAAGAAAGGATCCCGGATAAAATTGGCTGAAGTGAGGTTCCTCAGCAGGGTTCTGGTGTTCTGTCAGACCAGCATACCCCATCAGACAAGCATACCCATAGTCAATACCCGTTTATCCCTTTAGTTTTATATGAAAAATACCCTTTAAACTACCTGGATGGGCGTGTATCCCCTTAGTCATGTACAAAAAAACTATAAAAATACTTTTTGGTATTTTTTGAAGTGTATGGAGAACTACCTTAAACTAAAATATTTCCACTTGAGGATTTCGAAATAAAGGAACAGAAGCACAAGTTTATCTTGTAAACTTTTTTTTTTTTTTTTTTTTTTACAAATTTTGTGTAATTAATTAGATGGAGCCATGTTTTGGAGTCTCTATGCTCCACCTAATGAGTAATTGATTAATTCAATAATTTATTAATTGCAATTAATCTGTTCTGATCCTATGTAGCACCTGAAGAAAGTGGGTGTACAAATGTCTTTATGATCATAAAACATCTCAAATTTGTGTCCAAACGTAGTTTGAAGAAGTGATATAAACGACCTCAGAACTTCCTCTGAGCAACAATCAGTCAAGAATCTGTCTAATGTGAAATTAGTTTTCAGAGCTGTGTGCCAACAGGCTGGCCTGCAGACAGACTACCCACAGCCATTTTTGCCCTTATTTCCCAATTCTTATTATCTGTTTGTATCGCTCAAAAGTAACATATAAAGTGTCATGAATTATCCTGAGATTATTGGAACATTTGAAAGAGGTATTTCTTAAACCTTGGTGCTGTGGTTTTCCCTTATATTGCAGATTATTTTAATTGGTCTTCTCACTAATTTTTGGCATGTATTATTGGCAGTATGACCCA